AGAGAGAGAGAGAGATGCAGATCACTTTATACAATAATACAAATGCATTGAATTATAAATTCAATATATATATTGATTGAAATGCTATTTAAATGCATTGAAAGTCTATTATAAATATATAGGAATATTCTTGTATTTGTTGGCATAATGTTGTGGTAAACGCATAGACTATACAGAAAGACGTTGTCTTATGATATTGTGTTAAACATAACTCATATAAGTATAATGTATTAAAATCCTAATCAAAGTCAGCCCCGAAGTAATCGTCGGGTCTTTCAGTCGTTAAATAACTCCTAATTAAGTGTTTCTAAACTGTAATTATATTCAATGCAAACACGCGTTCGAGTCGTTCACATATAACGTTATATAGACATGAGAGGTATTCAAGTATAATATGAAAGGAATACTATTATTCAATGCTTTGATGAATGCAAAAACGGGTTCATATTTTCACACAATTACATCACGTATTCTATGAATGGGTTTTCACAGCATTAAATTTGAAAACAATACCAAAACATTGTCTGAAAAATAATGAATCAAATGATGAAACCATTGCTGACGTACTCGAGGTTAAGACAGATCACCGGCGATCTGATCCGTGCATCGGTGGCAGTGAGAGGACAGCAACGGTTGTTGTCTTCGATGAGTAATAAACGGATAACTCGTTTGCGAAGCGAACTCTCGGTCTCTGAAACCGAACTCAAGAGTAGTGGCAATGAATCCCTTCTGAAGACACGACTCGTGAATAGGAATCCAAGAAATTTGGAACAAATGCTCTTCGAATACAAACCACTCGGTTATGAACTGGACGTTCCCGACAGGACCTACTGGAACAAGTGAGTCACCGGTCAAACACACACCCCATCACCGCATCCATTAACCCCTTGTTTTGATCCCAAGGATTGTCTTCGACACGAGTGGCAAACACTTGACGGCCAGTATTGTCCACAACTCCGGACGTATTATTGTCAGCGCTTCCACTAAAGAGGCGGCGATTGGCCAACAGTTGAAGAGGTGTTGTTTGAGTGATATTTGTTATGTATTGATTGAATGGATAAAACAATTAACTGTATTATGTCTAACGATCAGTTCCCGAGGAGTGGCCGCAGCGACCAGTTTGGGACAAGTGTTGGCGATGCGGGCCTTAGAAAGCGGTGTACTTCAAGTGTTTGTTGGCGTTGAGTACGAATCGGACCAATCGCTCAAAGTATGCCATCGTTTGCATTGATTTTTATTTCTTATTTCAATTGAAAAGTTATCTCAAAAAACATTACTTTTGATTATTTGTTGAATGAAAGGCGAAGGCATTTCTGACTGCCCTTAAGGACAATGGATTGGTATTAGAGGAACAGTCCTTCATATTTGAGAGGAAGCGAAGGGATCACTAGTTTTTATCATCATTTAAATCATGTATTTTTTCAACACTAACTCCAAGTGTTTTAGTTTTGCGGTTAAGTTTAGAACCGCACTATTAAAGGAAATTTGATGTTTTTTAACATACTTTTTATTGTATTAGAAGTTTATTAATTAAATTAAATTGTAGTAAAAAATGTTTAAGAAATTAAGTTTTATTTTGTTTTCATTTATAATATTGATATTGTTTTCGTTGTACATCTATTTTCGCTTATTTTCAATTGAAAATACAGTGATTGAGACCCGGAATGAGTTGAATGCAAATGAAGTACAGGTGCGGACAGCCGTCGGCACATTTGTCGGCCATTTAACAGCTTATGGCGGGAAAGACGTGACCCAATTTTTAGGGATACCGTACGCCGAGCCACCCATTGGCTCATTACGGTTCAAACGGCCCGTCCCTTACCGAACATCTAATCAATTAAAAGCCAATCGATGGCCAAATCCATGTCTACAACGAGACAATCACTTACAGCTCAATAACTATAATTTCAGCGAAGATTGTCTTTATCTCAATATATGGAGTCCGAGAGTCCAACTGTGGCCTAATGTGACCCATAAGCCGGTGGTTGTGCTCATACATACGGGCGCTTTCATGTTTGGCTCTGCATCTGAGGCCACATATAATGGAGTTGTATTGTCAGCATTGGGTGATGTGATTGTCGTCACATTTAACTATCGTCTCAATGTGTATGGCTTTCTGTATACGGGAACCGAAAGCGTGACCGCAAACGCCGGAATGTATGACCAAATGCTTGCCATTCAATGGGTCGCTCAACACATCCGTAATTTTGGAGGCGATCCCAATCGAGTGACACTCGTTGGACAGTCAACTGGCGCTCTGTCAGTGGGTTTTCATATATTATCGCCAATAAGTAATAAACTATTCTCGAGAGCAGTGCTTATAAGCGGTTCACCACTCGAGCACCGGTGGCTCTCAGAGCCAGAAATGGCAAAACAGTTTTGGATTAATTATGCAAAAGATGTCAATTGTATGACTGGTAGAGAGGAGTCTATGAATTCAATTGCATTGAAATGTTTACAGAAAGTGAATAGAAATAGATTGCCAGCAATGAGTGATATTAAACGCTATTCTATGGACCCGTTTATAGTGTCAGCGCCCGTAGTCTTTGATTCGCATTTTAATACTAAACTCAACGAAACACTCAAAACACTTAACAGTAATATTTCAATATTGTTTGGATACACGGATGACGAGGGCTCGTGGATGTTGTCATTGCAGGACAACCAACGATTTGGACCACAATCTCAACAGAATATGACTTTTAATGACACCGTCTCTAAACTTAATGAATTTCTGCTCAAAATCAAATCAAATACGGAATTTGAAATTAATGGTAAATCAACTCTCTCTCTCTCTCTCTCTCTCTCTTTCTTTCTTTCTTTCTCAATCATATATTACTCGCTTACTTTTATCTACTTGTTATTTAGAATAACATAATTTTAATTCATTTTAATTTAATATACAATATATTATATAGTTTTGAATATAAAATCTATTGAATATTTCAGCTGAAAATATAACAAATTATTACATGAATTCAATCGCAAGCCATCGACGGGGGAATAAAAATGAGTTGAGCCGTACGATAGGCATAGCATTAGGAGATTTTTACATCTCATGTCCGTTACATCATTTCATCGATTATTTGCACAAATATAGCAATACATCCAAAGTATATCAATATTATTGGACATATAAAGGGGACCCAAAGTCCAGTGCCTTTTGGCGTACATTTTCGACGGTGTGGTGCGGGAATTGGATGGGAAGTTGTCATTCATTTGAATTATACGCTATCTTTGGAGTACCTCTTCAACAGTCCATAGCTTTCAATGAAATGGATAGAAGAATGGCATTCAAAATGATTAAAATTGTTTCAACTTTTGCCCACACGTTAGCGAATTAATTAAATTATTACTAATTTATAATTAATAATTAATTATTTGTTTATTTGTCCTATAGATCCACAATTAATGATAAAAACAACAAATGGTTAGAATATGAAGAAATGAATGCAATTTCTGTGAAACCCTATCATGTGATCAATTATGGCATCACTTCTGATGATATGTTTGGTTTGAATCTCAAGAAATATGAATGATAGCAAATTATGATCACTTAATGCAGTCATCTCTACGACAACCGATCGGCACGTGTTTGAGGGCATCGTCTCGAGTGTAAGCAATGGACTGATCAATGAGTGGATCAATTATTTTAGTGATTATTTTCTCTTAAGAACCACCAAAAGGTTTTTGGATATAAACTTAATGAAAGGCAACAATGAATACTGTGGCTGAACTTCAAGGTCCACTCGACTCGTTAATTGGCGTTCAACAAACTAACCAATGTGAACTAACTATGCATGGTCATTTTGGCATCAAAAATTGATTTGTAGCTTAAACAATGAAAGAACGTGTTATTTATTAACATTTTTATCAATGAACAGTACTGTATATAATGCCATTCAATGACAACATATTTATAACTTAATTAACTTTTTCATAAAAAAAAACTTATATTAATGGAATATTTTAAGCGATTTTTTGGTTCATATTTTGTACATTTTTGCAAAGTACTAATTGTAAAAATCATGTTCACTTTTATCATATTAATACAGATAATCTAAAATTCACTATTTTTAGCAACCTTGATAAAAATATCGAAATAAACATTCAATATTTAATCATAGAAATATAATTTATACCAATATGAGTTAAAATTTTTGTGAAATTTAGTGGTTTCTATGAGTGCGAGAGAGAGAGAGAGAGAGAGAGAGAGAGAGAGAGAGAATTATTTTTAGATTGAAAAATATTTACTCGAAAAATTTGATATGAAAAATATGTTTTATTAATATTTGATAACAATTTAATAGCATTTATCACATAATGATTGCAATCAATACTTGAATTCAAAGAATCGATTGCTTCCAAAGGGAATCGCATTCATATTTCTTGAGATTCAAACCAAACATATCATCAGAAGTGATGCCATAATTGATCACATGATAGGGTTTCACAGAAATTGCATTCATTTCTTCATATTCTAACCATTTGTTGTTTTTATCATCAATTGTGGATCTATAGGACAAATGAACAAATTATAAATGAGTAATAATTTAATTAATTTGCTAACGTGTGGGCAAAAGTTGAAACAATTTTAATCATTTTGAATGCCATTCTTCTATCCATTTCATTGAAAGCAATGGACTGTTGAAGGGGTACTCCAAAGATAGCGTATAATTCAAATGAATGACAACTTCCCATCCAATTCCCGCACCACACCGTTGAAAATGTACGCCAAAAGGCACTGGACTTTGGGTCCCCTTTATATGTCCAATAATATTGATATACTTTGGATGTATTGCTATATTTGTGCAAATAATCGATGAAATGATGTAACGGACATGAGATATAAAAATCGCCTAATGCTATGCCTATCGTACGGCTCAACTCATTTTTATTCCCCCGTCGATGGCTTGCGATTGAATTCATGTAATAATTTGTGATATTTTCAGCTGAAATATTCAATAGATTTTATATTTAAAACTATATAATATATGTATACATGTATATTAAATTAAAATGAATTAGAATTATGTTATTCTAAATAACAAATAGATAAAAGAGAGCGAGTAGTATATGATTGAGAAGGAAAGAAAGAAGAGAGAGAG